TCTAAAAGTATAATTTAAAATAACAATTATTAGATTTAATATTATTAATAAGCTTTTTAATTTATTTTATAAAATATAATGTATCAGAAGTGATAATACAGCCTATAATTTTTAATCATTTCTATAGAATTTTAGTAATTTTTAAATAAAATCAAATTTAAATAAATTTAGTTTTAATTTTTGTACTTTATTATGATCAAAAGTCAAATTTTGTTTAAATTTAATTTTACCAAAAGTTATATATATTTTATTTTAAAAATATATAATTTTTAAAATAATTTAAAATAATAGTTTGAAAAAAGTAAAATATATTTTATAAAGTTTAAGTACTTGAAGTTACAATTTAATATATTTTCAAATACTTAAAATATTATTTTAATTATTTAAAAATTATAATTTAAATACTTGAAGTTATATTCAAATATTTAAAATTATTTAAGTATTTGAAATTGTAATTTTAAATATTTAAAATAACACTTCAAGTGCTTAAAATTGTAACTTCAAATACTTGAAACTATAATTTCAAACACCCAAAGTTGTAACTTCAAGTATTTGAAGTTGTAACTTCAAGCATTTGGAATTATAATTTCAAGCAACTGAAGTTGAAATTGTAACTTCAACCACTTGGAATTGTAGCTTTAAGCACTTATAACTTCAAGTGCTTGAAGTCGTAATTTCAAGCACTTGACGCTGCAACTTCAAGTGCTTGAAGTTGTAACTTCAAGCATTTGAAGTTAAACTTCAAGCACTTGAAATTGTAACTTAGGTATTTGAAGTTGTAATCTCAAGTATTTGAAATTGTAATTTCAAATACTTGAAATTGTAACTCCAAGTGCTTGAAGTTACGACTCAAGCACTTGAAGTTACAACTCCAAATGCTTGAAGTTACTTTAAGCACTTAAAATTTTAACTTCATTCTATAAACCATTTTCGAAAGACGTATATCAATTTTTTCCAGACTATCGTTCTATTATTATTCCAAAAATGATCATTTTCGAAACAAAACGTATATAAATTCTGGGTAAAAATCAAATCTGAATAAGAATCGTTTTCTAATTATAACGAGATTAGAAGCCAAATTTGCCCGGATTTGATTTCTACCCGAAAATTACTGGGATTATATGAGAATTTGTATGTATTTTGGTTTGAAACATGAGCATTTTCCAGAACGATAATATAGAAATATGTTTTTCAAAAAATTTTTATAAGAGTGTGTTCACTTAAACCTGGATTGAGTTTAAATGAACCCGAACTGAAACCGAGATGCTTATTCACAGATAAATTTAACACTTTTAACAAATTAGAACTGGAATATTAGGACAATCACATATAAAAATTAGCAACTCGAGATAACGTGTTTGTAGAAAAATTTAACACTTTTTTAACATTGAGAACTAGAATTTTCGATTGATTATCGTTTTTGCAAATATCGATCTCCTGCAACCTCAAGCAGTGACAATTTATTCCTAATATGGTCACTTCACGCAATGATCAACTTCAAACACGACAATGTTACCACATCCCTGCATAATATTTAACGTAACAGGTGATGCTCCATATTTGGTACACCATTGGCGTCGACACGTATTTTGCACCAATAACGCTACTAGCGCTAAGGTGGTAATGCGATAATCATTTTATCAACTTGTTAAACTGGATCAGATCATGTTACTACATACACACGATAGGTCATGTGAGCAAATGCTAAAAATCACGAAACTTTATTGTGAACTGAAATGTACATGTTGACTACTACTGCCTTCACTTTGATTATCATCATTATTATTGTTATTATTGTTGTTGTTATTACTATTGTTATTATTACTATTGTTATTATTCCTAAGCACGCTTAAACTCTCCTCCAAGTCCTCCACCCGTGCCCGCAAACGATTTCTCTCTGTCAACACCCTTTCGTACCGAGATCCTAACTCCCAATTTCTTTGTGCACCATCTGTTGTCCTTTCCTGCCACAATTCAACTTCTCTTATTGATTCTTCTAACTGTCGTTCCAACCTATTTATGCGTCTCCTAAATTGCTGCATGTATCTCATTAATCTGTTAATAAAACAAGTTTTTTATATAAACTTTTGTTATTGAACTGAAATTGATTTGTTATTTTACCTTGAATTTTCATTTTGAACCACTTCTAAAGCTTCAAATAATGGAGTATTGGTTGAACTACGAGTTGTTCGATTACAATATCGAGATTTACGTGGCATTTTTGATCAAAAAAAAATTTTTTTCCGAATTGAGATTTGTACATCAAAGATCTTCTGTATACTCATTTAATCAGAAACTTGTAGATTTGATTGGATAATTAGAATATTTAATGAATTTAAGGTTCATAAAAGCAAAAAAAAATAAAATAAAAAAATAAAATAAAATAAAAAAATAAAATAAAAAAATAAAATAAAATAAATAAATAAAATAACGATAACTTCCTAATATAGTGTAAAAGTTGAATTTGTGGTCAAGTAGCTAATGATCATGGGTTTAATGCTGACTTATGGTGATGCTAAATGCTAAATATGTTTGACGAGGTTATGAAGACCTAAACTACTACCTCAACTGCCATTATACATTCTAAATTATTATTTTTTTAAAAAAATAAATTGATTAAATTATTATTGAAATGCCTGAAAATATCAAGTAGATAGATAAACAAGGGAACTTAAAATAAAAATAAAAATTTAATTCTCTAACGCTAATGGTTCTTTAATGCTAATTATATTTTAAAGATTGTAGATCTGATTTATTATCGATATGTATAGGAATCATGTGTAAAATTCCTCTACACGTCACATATCAAATCATAGGACTTTAAACATACAGGTTGCAACATGATGTTTACATAAGAACGGCTTAGTATAGCAATTCCTGAATCAGGTGTAACGTAACTAGATCAGGAAACTCCAAACGTCCATTTTGTCAAATCGATTATAACTAAAAAAAATTTGTATAATCAATCACCTTTAGCACTTTAATTAAAAGTTTTTCCAGAGCTAAGTTAAACACTAACCTTAATATCAGTGAGCTTTAAAACTTTTGCCTGCGCCACAAATTTTGCATTCAAGAATTGCTAATTTGAATATTTATAATTTTCGGATTACATAGTAATGGTTTGGATCTGTGGCCGAGTAACTAACAATCGTGGATTTAATACCGATATTCGATTTAAACCACCTAGTCTAATGTAAGTACGTACAGTAGCTTCCACAAGGTTTCCAGCGTTATGCATAATACAGTTAAATTAACAAGATGATTGTTGTATTTTAAACAACTGTTTTAAATTTAGGTTGGTGGAATTGAACATACATTTATATAGCTAAAAAGAAGAATGGTTGAAAGAGGCAGTGCTTATTCATAATATGATAATATTTGTGTTAAATTTCTGTATGCTTTCCGTGTAACAGTGACAAACTTTTGGAGGCTACTGAACATACATACGTACGTACCAGAGCCACCAGATTCTAGCAATTGCAAAAATAGCACCAGTGACATCGCGACAAACCACATAAACAAATCCAACCGAAATTGGTTTATTTAATTTTATACATCTGTAGAATAAAGATTAAACCAATTTTGGTCAAATTTGGTTATATGGTTGTCTCAATATCGCTAGTGTTATTTTTGCTATTGCTAAAATCCTGTGGCTCTGGTACGTACGTGTGTTGTACCGGTTATAATGGTTGAGCAACTTAGTATATAACCATTGTAACATTATGTGCTATATTATATTTATTGAAAAAAATACTTATTGAATAATAAAAACTTCGATCTTTCTCAAAACTAATTTTTCACTTTAATTAATATAGTTCATTTTTTAAAACTAAAATAAAAATATCAAATTTATTTTATTCTTGAGTAAAAATATTTATAAATTATATGACAAATGAATATATAGATTCGCAAAAATCAATAACAATATTAGAATAAAATATTTATGATTTATGATTTCTTTTTAAGTACTTGGAATACTTCATATTCATTTATCGTAAAGTATGAGTTACCATATTGATCCAGAGGTAAATTTCTAATTTTATTTTCATACGATCGATGTTGAATGTAATTTAGACCATATGGATTGAATAAAACAAGATCCCAATTACCAAAAACTGGACCACATATAGGATAGCAGCAAATTGCATTTTGTGTGTCTTTTACACGACTTAAAATCGTATTTTTGATGCTACCATTTTTTAGTGAAAAAATAAAGCTGGAATCACAAGTTTTAAAATATTCAATCATTCCTGCTTTATCCCACGAAATAGGATTGTATCCACCAAGGATTTCATCAGTATCTTTAACTTTTATGATTATAACAAGGTTTGCTTGCTTTTCGCATAAATACCAAAATGAATGACGAGAAAATCCATCTACACTTCCACGAGTAAGTAATTTAAATTCATATGGATTATTTTTTGTAGAATATAAGGTTGTTTTCATATCAATCCATGAAGCAATTTCAGCAGCATGTGTTTCGTTAATAATTACTGAAAACGGTTTTTTAGTTGATGTTTTAAAACCAAGAGAAAACTTATTAAGGTTGATTGATTTAGTATTGTTTTTCTTACAAACTTGGAGTACTTCATATTCCTCAGCTGAAAAATATAATCTACTATTAATATTCGGAGGAGCATTTCTAATTGGTTTCTCATATGAATAATGTTGACAGTAACAACTATTGTCACGACTAAAATTATTAACCATGCCAAGATCGCCTACATCGTGTTCACCACCACGGACAACTACTATATCAGGGTCGTTTACATCGTATTGACCTCCAAACCACGGACCATAAGATAAACTGCCCCAAATAGCATGTTCTGGTTTTTTTATACGACTTAAAATAGAGTTTTGAATAGTACCATTTTTTAAGGAAAAAATAAAACTTTCGTTGCAACTTTTCCAACCATTAAATGATTTATCCCATGCAATTGGATTATATCCACCAAGAATTTCATCTGTACCTTTAACTTTAATGACCACGATAGTATTTACTTGTTTGTCACATAAATTCCAGAATGAAGCTGTATTAAATCCATCTCTACTTCCACGAAGAAGTAATCTAAATTCATATGGATTATTTTTTATAGAGTACATATCAATCTTTTTATCAATCCATGAAGAAATTTCCGCAGCATGTTCTTCATTAATAATTGTTGAAAACAAGGCTTTTTCTCTAATTGGTAATGCTGGAGTTAAAACAATACGAGATGGAAGAATTGTTGATGTTATTTGTTGATTTTGATCAATCGATCTTTTTGTTAATTCATTCCAAAGATCCGTATCTAGAATTCTTCGATAAGGGTGTACAATATTCATAATATCAGCATCAGAAATTTGAAAATAACGGATAAAAGGCAAACAATTTTGTAAAGAAAATTTTAAAGTTAGAAAATTCTCATCCGACCAGTTTTCAATATTTGATGGTAACTCAGAATTTTGAGCAATCCCCCACTTAATCATATATTTCCAGATTTCTATTTCTTCCATTTGTAAATCATCACGTTTAATGAGCGTGACCAACGCACTTTCTTGTAAAGAGACAAAATCTTTAGATTCAAAAACCAGGCTTGGATATTTTGATATGATATTATAACACCATTCTTGTAACTCTGTAAGTTTATCATTTTTGAGACTATTTTGATAAACATGAAAAAAATGTAAACGAAGCCAGTGAGCCTCAGCCTCAATCAAATGAGACTCAATATATTTAGCTAGTTCCTCAAAAAGAAGTTCTTCAGCAACAAGCATGAGATCAAAAATAAATGAAACGTCATGATCTTCTAATGAAATTATCCCTCCATAAATATATCTGTTTAGTTAATTCGTAATATTAATAATTTAGTTATATATATACAGTATATAACATCGCAATTTTATAATAAAAACTTTACATACTTAATAATAATTTCGAATTGTTGAATAGAAGCATGTTTTAAGTTAATAAACTTAGTACCACTTTCATCTTTATGAATTTTTTCCAACACATTACGAAAATATAAAGATCTATATCTCAAAATAGCAGAATGTGCCTGAAACACCTTAGTATTTGAAGATTCTTCAATATTAATAATTACATTAAAATCTTCTTTATCTTCAAGAAGTTCAAGGTAATTATTCGAAAGGTTTTCAAGAAACTTTACCATAATTATTAAATAAGACAAGGATATTTTAAAATTCTCAAAGGAAATTAAATTGACCACGCTATATGTACAAAAGAATTCATACTTGGATGCTTAATTCTGAGATGTAAATGAAATATCAAATAAGGTATATCATTTTGATTCTATTACGTACGTATCTACGTACGTATCAATATTATAACAAATAAATAGACTAACTAATACATACATATATACAACATATTGGAATGGAATTCGTGGCACGCGATGATCTTTCAGCTAGATTAAACTTATGACACTGCCGTTGAAAGAATTAGCGCACTAAGAATTTTATAATATATATATGTATATTTTTTTAGAACATTATCAATTCCAAAAATTGGCATAATAAATAAACTACTTCAATCTATATATTTTAAAATTTTAATAAATATTTAATTGATTTTTAAAAAATTTTATCAGTAACATATGGGATCTTTGCTACCCTACGAGTCATTGTTACACGAGATTTTTATTAAGAAAATCATAATAAATCTATTTTTAGAAAAGCAAAGATCCCATATTTTTATTCTCTATGTAAATTTAATTTACTGCGCAGATCATATACTCAATCCTTAATAAATATTTACTATTTAATTTAATTTAGTTATATTAATTTAGTGATAAGTATAAATCTTTTGTTATTTTAAAAAGTACTTAGTCATTAAATTTCATGAGTATTCGCTATTGTCTTTATTTGAATCGTGTGACATAAATAATATCTATTAATTCAAGCATTTAAATAAGCTATCTATTAAACTTAAAAATATCTACTATTTAATTCTATTATGCTTATGTTGGTTTAGCGCATAAACTTCATTTTATTCATATCAATTTAGTGCGTAATCATCTAATAAACTATTAAATTCGGAAATATTTATTAGTTTATTCATTAATTAATGAGTATAAAAATATTTGCATTCAGTTATATAAATAAGAAGATTCCTACAATGAAAAATTATCTATTTGATGTCCTCCGTTTCTGGTTTTGTGTGCAGCTATCTTATTTATATAACTAATTAAAATTATAATAAACTTTATAAATATTTGTT